TATCTTTATGCCCATATCAAACATTCTTGATTATGGTAGCTTTATAATAAGTCATGAAATCAGGTACTGGAGTTGTTATCTATTTATTGCTGAATAACAAATGACCACAAATTTGAAGGTTTAAAACAATGCACTTTTATTGTCTCACAGTATCTGCAGGTCAAGAGTTCAGACATAGTCCTGGCCAGTGTTACTCAGTCGTTAAAGTGTTGGCCCATGCACTGAAGGGTCATGGGTTTGATTCCCAGTCAAGGACACGTACCTGAGTTGCAAGTTTGGTCCCCAGACACAATAGCATATGTGTGGGAGGCAACCATAATAGATGTGTCTCTCTTATGATATTCTCTTTCTCCCTTCCTCCCTCCCACACTCTAAAAGTTAAAGGAAAAATATCCTCAGGTGAAGATTAACACACATACAAACAAACACAAACACACACACACACACCAAAGAGTCTGGACATAGCTTAGATAGAGCCTCTGCTTATCATCTCACTGGCTATAATCAGTGTAGGCCAGAGCTGGCTTCTTAAATGGAGGCTTGACTAGGAAAAAAAATCCCTTTTTGTTAGCAGCGTTCAGATAACTGCAGCTATATAACTGAGAGCTTCTGTTTTTTGTTGGCTGGCAACTAGAAACTGCTCTCAACTCCTAGTTCTGAACCTGTAGGCCTGCATGTAGGCACCGAGCTACTGGGGTGGTGTAGGAACAGCCCTGGGACCCAAGTGCTCCGAGCCGGCAATTGGTGGGCGATGCGGCAGGAATGTCCCTTGCAGAGAGCAAGCAGTCAGCAGGGCCCTCCTTGCCCCTGGCCATGGCAGAGAGGGGAAGCAGTCCCCTGTAGGGCCTCCACAGAGAGCAGAGAACCACGGGGAATAGGCCTAAACTGTTCATATGACGTTCCCTGTGAGCTCCCAGATTGGAGAAGATGCAGGTTGGGCTGAGGGCCACATCCCCCCTCCCATGCACAAATTTCATGCACTGGGCCCCAAGTGTTAAATAAGGAGGGATGTTAGCACTACCATTTGTCTTCTAATCAAGCCCTCTTATCCAAATCTTATCAGCAATAAAGTTGACATCATGCTTTTCATCTAACTATTACTCTCTGTCTATTTTTCAGTTGGTTCTGAACTGGTGTAGGGAAGAGGGTATGATTTATTACCCCCTAAAACCTCAACATCTTCAACAAACTGGTGAAACCTACTCGTATTTCAAAACTCAGCTCAAAGCTTCCTGCCTTATGACAACTTCCTGACATTCCCTCCCATGTGTCTTTGCTTGCACTTCCTGTGGTACATGTAGCAACACTTAGCTATTCTCCTTTGTCAATATATATTTCCCCTTCCCCCTTCTCCTCTCTCTAAATATGTAAAAGTCTTAAAGCATAAAATAAAACCAAATATTTTTGACTTACCAAAATCAAAACATACTATAAGGCCACTGAAATTAATAGGTAAAGGGGGGAAAATTCATCAGTAGAATAAAACAGAAATTCAAACACAAAACAAACAAAAAAAGAAAAAAAACATCATATTTTCATTTTATCTTTGTAGCTCTGATCCCTAACACAATGCCAGCCAGGTATTCAGTAAATGCTTGTCAAATTAATTATTATGATGACAAAATGATAAGACTTCAGTCTTTAAAAAAAATAAATTTTCATTATGTAATAGTTAATAAAATAACACAGCATATTAAGATTATAACTATATAAAAATTTGCATACAGCCCTGGTCAGGTGCCTCAACTGGTTGGAGTGTTGTACCATACAAGGTTGTAGATTCAATTTCCAGTCAGGTCATATATGTAGGTTGCAGTTTCCATACTCAGTCAGGGTGTGTAAGGGAGTCAACAGATTGATGTTTCTCTCTCACTCACTCACTCTTCCTCTATATTATAGGGGTGTCGAACTCAATCAGAGAAGGGGCCAAAATCTAAAATCAAAATCTAAAATCCAGCCTAAATCGGGGGCCGAATGGTTTACTGAACAGTCATAAACTGTCATTGTGATGGAAACGCAGCGGAGTGCAGTGATGACAGCGCGGTGCGGGCCACATTGCAAGGCCTGGCGGGACGGATTTGGCCCGAGGGCCTTGTGTTTGACACATGTGCTCTATAAATATATCCTGCGGTGAGGATTTTTAAAAATTGTGTGTATGTTGAAAGGTAATATGTAAAATAAATAAATTTCCATTGTGTTTGGTATCTTTTTTAACAAAAATCGTAAAACTCTTTTTCATTATGTCTAATGTCTGAATTGCCCTCCCTCCCCCCCCCCCCCCACACACACACATAAACACTGGGTTGGGAATAGGGGATTAATGTCACATGGGACACTGAGATTCAGAGGGCAGCCAAATAAAAGAAAGGCAGTTGGAGAAAGAAGAACTAACTAAACATGAGAAAAACCACATCTAAATGCAACTAAGTCCAGGGGCCAGGAAGAGGGTCAAAGGAAAAAAAAAAATCACAGAGACTGGAATTCAGAATAGGATCATTGGACGAACAAAGTGTAGGGTGGAGGGGAATGCAAGGGTTGCTTCCTTAAATATCCGTGAGAAGCTATGGATTTCTGTTTAGCACAGATTAAAGAACACCTACTACATGTCAGATGTGTGCTGGTTTTACAAAGATTAATAAGACACAAAGTCCTAAGGAGGACAAATACAAAGATACTTAGGCCTATTACAGTAAAAGTGTTGGAAATCAAAAACAAAGAGAAGATCCTAAAAGCAGCCAGAGAGAAAAGGGAAATTACCTTCAATTTTAGTAAAATGTTCTCTGGAGAAACAGAATCAATGGTATAGAGAGAGAAGGAGAGAAAGAGAAAAGAAGATTTATTATAGGATTGGACTCAAAGCTACATTGCTACATGTGTGGTCCCCAATTTTAAAAGTGAACGCAGGAGGCAGCCAATCAATGGTTCTCTCTCATCATTGATGTTTCTATAACTCTCTCCTTCTCTGTTCCTCTCTGAAATCAATGAAAGTATATTTAAAAAATAAAATAAAAGTCATTAGACTGGAGAACCTCAGGATGGGTGAATTTGGGAAGCTTCTCCTCTGGAGAAGTCAGTCTTACAAAGTGTGTGACCATATTGCCCTCCGGAGACGGCAGATTTTTCTGAAAATAAAATTTTTTTAAAAAATCACATAAATAGATCTTTTCATTCAGAGTTGTACCCAGCCCTAGCCCATTTGGTTCAGTGGATAGAGTGTCAGCCTGCGGGTTGAGGGGTCCTGGGTTCGATTCCAGCCAAGGGCACATGCCTGGGTTGCAGGCTTCATCCCCAGTAGGGGGTGTGCAGGAGGCAACCAATCAATAACTCTTTCTCATCATTGATGTTTCTATCTCTCTCTTCCTCTCTGAATAAAGAAATGCATTTTTTTAAAAGACTTGTACCTAGTAACCTGATGAATCTTGTAAAAGTTTTCATATGTGAAGTGTTGTGAGAAGTTCTTCTAAAATTCCCAAATAACATTTTCGAAACAGGAGACCCAGAAGTTAAAAACACAAAGCTTTCCCTCTTTTGTTGTTCTTCTTTTTAAAAAAATATATTTTATTGATTTTTTACAGAGAGGAAGGGAGAGGGATAGTTAGAAACATCGATGAGAGAGAAACATTGATCAGCTGCCCCCTGCATACCCCCTACCGGTGACGTGCCCAAAACCAATATACATGCCCTTGACCTGAATTGAACCTGGGACCCTTGAGTCTGCAGGCTGGCACTCTAACCACTGAGCAAAACCAGCTAGTTCTTCTCTGTTCTTCTTTCTCAAATTTCTTAAATTGAGGAAATTGTTTTCAAAAAGCAACCATGTGTATTGTTGTAACAGTACACACCATATTTATTAGACAATTAAGAAAAACAACATTTGGCACAAGAATGCCAATTTATTCTTTTTTGGACACATACACACAAAATATTCCTGCAAGCCAAAAAAAAAAATTTTTTTTTTAAATAACCATCATCCTACCTCAACATGGGGCTATTACCCATCCCTTAATAGTTTAGAAAGTACCTCGTATTGCTAGAGACTTACATCCAGTCCAAATTTAATAAAATACATTTTAAAACATTACAGATTCAACAGTATAAAAACAAAAATTACACCATTAGTCAAATGAACAAATGCAAACATTTTCATCCACTAGACATAGAAAGAGCATGTGTATGTCAATAGCAAGGGATAAGGAAATGGTTGATCAATAATAAGATCTTCCCTTTAATTTTACCAGGAAAAATTCTTGGAGTTGAAGTCATATTGATACAATGCCCTCAGCCTCCACTTTCTTAAAATGAAAGCAGAGTTACCACCTTGCTATTGAGCAAGGAAATCTTACAGCACATCCACAAAGGGTCGCTAGGGCAGGGCGGGGAGGGCGAACCTTGTTAAACAGTGAATTACCGTTCCCATAGGAAGGGTAGGTAGCTGAGCCAGGTAGCTAAGCTTTGATATAGGCTGGGCACCAGATCCTAAAATACAGACCATATAGTATATGTCTGCTTGTAAATCATCACCTTTGGAAGCAGCAAGTAGAATTTACAGTAAAAAAATGAGTATGTTCTGCCTGCCTAGTACTAGCTGCATTAAGCCAGCTAGTTCTTGTTATAAGTCGCTCAGGGTTCAACAACTAACAACAACGAAACATAACTGGTTCAGCATTGGGATCTTCCCCACTCTTAATGTACCCCACACCTTGTCCCCAAATTGTTACTCTTTAGCATTGTTACATTTAAATCTTTCACACTACAGGACAGTGCCTAAACAGGCTGCATTTGAATAAAAACAACTAAGCACCCTACTTCTAGAGAATGCACACCTCCCATTGATTGACACATGCATAACAACAATTCAGTCAGTCCAGAGGGTTACAAATTCAAGCCTAATTAAAACTATGCATCCAGACTTGCTTGCAATAGTATTGCTGCAACTCTGATTCTGCAGTGATTGCTTCTTAAAGATTCACCCCTTAGCAAGTCCTCCCTCCCCCGCCCCAAATAATCCCAGTTCTTCCATATTTCTTTCCTTTCATCCAAAATGACAGACAGCCTTGCACCATTAAAGGTACTGGTTTCCTATAAAAATAGGCCTCCCGGCTTTTCCCCCACCACCACACTCATTTGCCCCAGTGTGCTAGGACTGATTGAGGTCGTACAAACTGCAGAGTTCAAGGTTGAGCATATAGGCCAACTGCAGGCAAGTGAATCAGGGCTTCCAGGCCCTCTGCCTCGCTCCCTGTTCCGTTCATGCCAGGAGATGGTGACAAGTGGAGCTTCTTCTGTGCATTAACAAGCATGCCCGAGGCACTCAAGTGCAGGTGTGGTGCCTGCTGGCCAGCCAGCCAGCCACCAAGAGTTCTTCACGTCCTGGATTTCAGCGAGTCCTTTTCCAAACAAGTTTGGTTTTCCTCCTCTTGGGTCCAGGGTGGCCATGCTGAAGGGTATATTCTGTGCTCTCCATGATCACACGTGAATAAAAGCAGAAGCCAGTCCCTCACCAACATGTCCTGATTTGTAGAATCCAAGTGAGGTATTTGCAAAAAAGAAAAATCTTAAGAAATTAAGATCTCCCATCTCGTCACTACGTTGTGCCTCAATTACAGAGCTTGCCTTCATCTCACTATATGCAGAGAATTAAGATGTCTGCACCCATCTTAAAGAGCTACAGGACTTAATATACATTACCAAAGTCTCAGAGACCAGTCCCAGCAAACAGTGCCGCTGATCAACGGCACACAGAAATGTAAACTTCAAAGTATGTACAAGCTTGTTTAAAAGACTGAAGAAAAACAGGGCTTTATATTGCTGGGATTTTGAGAAGGCTAGTTTAAAAGATTTGGACCGGCTAATGAGTTCAAGCAAACACCCTTCACTATCAGATCCAGTGTTTCCAGACTGAAGTGGCAAATTCAGTTTACCACATTGTATCTACCTCTTTTCGCCAGCACCTTCCTCATCCATGGGGAGTGTGGCTCTGGGCCTTTTATCCCCTTTTCCAGCTCTCACTCCTGAGGTTCCAGGATAGAGAATTACAAGTCAGTGAAATCTGGGCTGGGCAACACGGCTGGAACTACCAAGACTCTATGTAACTGTTGTCCATTCACAAAATATTATCTACACTAAATACAAAATACACTTCCCCCTACTTTGTAACTGATGCTTGCTTTAGATCAACTCCCTTTGAACAAGAAAAGAATCCTGCCTCCTTGTGAATGGAATCCAGAATCTATTAAGAAAAATCTTTGTATGCAGTTTTACTTGACTCAAAGGAAGGAAACTTCACCAAGAACATTTCAGGTCGAAAGATCAGCACAAGTAACCTTGATTCCCAGGGAAAAAAATGTAATGTTAGTACATTTTTGCAAGTTGCAGCATCACTTAATGTACCTTAAAGACTGGCAAAGCCTATCCAGTAAGGAAGCATCCTGGTTCTATCTTATTTTAAAACAAAGTGACAGGACACCAACTATGATATAAAAGAGATAAAAAATAATTCCTTAAAAAGGCATGGAAATATCTATTTTTTAACTGATTCAGGAATTGCCAGATTATGATCTATAAGAAATAGCTGATAAAAATCATACCAAAATTTCATCTAGAAAAACTCATTGTCAGTGCGGGTGGGGGAAGTGAAGGACCTTAAAAAACGTTTATTGCCAAAGTTAACTTTTTGTGAGAAGAGTTTAAAAGTCATTTAGATCTGACACACCAGACAGCAGCATAAAATGGGCACTTTTGCAAAGTTTGAAAAATTCTAAAACCTAATTTTTTTTCCAAAGGGGGAGGGGGAGAAACATGGGTACTTTTTATTATGGCAGTGTTATCTGTTACTGTGACATGTACTACATCTGTCTGTATTACACATTCACAAGAGTCACCCAGATAAGAGAACTGCCTATTTGAAACTGGGGCCAAATATAGTGCAATTGCCCGGCAGCAGCCTGTACTTGCACCAGCACAAGTCTGTACAGATCAGTAAGATAAAGTAGTAAAACTAATAAAACTTGGGGGGGGGGGAATCACTGCTCGTTAAAGGCATTTACAGTGGCGAAATTGGAAATCTCCACTAAAAAGTCAATGGACCCACACAATTAAGTAGTTATGCTAAACTGAAGTAGACTGGATTTCCTCTCCCACTGATACATACAGCCCACTCGATGAACACAGAAAAAAGGAACAATCTTCTCTCACAAGACAAGAGGGATGCGGTGAACACCCCAGCTAACAAAATATTCCATAGAAACCCTTCTTGTAAAGTCCTTTAGAAAGTTCAGGTTGAGCAGCATGTTGAGGTAAAAAATTCGGTCCAGTGCATCGGAAAAAGACAATCTATGAGTATCTATTACTTTTTAAAAAATGGCTCAATTTTGTTGACGCATCAGACAGTGCTGCGAAGTATTTATTCAGTGCAACTATTCTGAGCTGCTGGTAGAAGACAAACTGAAGTCAGCTTGGCTCCCTCTAGTATGCTGGTAGGCGTGTGAAACATTTTGAGGCTGCACGGGGTGCCAAATTGGTTGAGTTCTTCTGAGACTCTCAGGCAAAATACATTGTGTGCTGGGTATCGTGGTGGATTTGCACAGCTTTAGCCAAGGCTTGAGGATCTCGGCCGTTGCTCTGTCCTGACACGTGACTGCCTTCTGCACTGTAAAGAGAATAAAGCAAACAAACAAAAAAACAGGTGTAACAAAGGACCATGTCAAACTTCACATGTTTCAAACTTCACATGTTCACACTATTAGATTCGAGATCTTAGGCCCAAGCTGTGGTTCCTAATGTCTCTCTACACATCCAGTTTGCTTAACTGAAAAATGCAACACAACTCATTTATTGTAACAATTAAATAATGTCTGCAAAACCCAAATCCTTAATGGTGTCTCCATAAGAACTTCTATGGGCCATTATGTCTGGTCAGTGCCTACTTGCCTTTAGGTTTTAGTCAAATGTCCTTTTCCCAAAAGACATTGACCTTGACTCCAAAGTTCAGCTCAGAGCCACCTAGAACACAGTTCCACAGAACCCTCTACATTCTTTCATTTGAAAGAAACACAATTAACATTAAGTTAGTAATTGGATAATTATTTCTTTTCCCTCTGGGACATAAACTCCAAGAAAGCGGCAACTTTGTCTATCTTCCTCACCATCGAATCTATAGTGCCTGGCACATAGTAGAAATTCAGCAAATGTGATCATGACACCAGTTTCTTCTTGTCTTCCCCCCCACTAGCTATATGTCCTTGCACAGGTAGCAGCCCCTTTGTACTTTGGTCTTTTAGGATAACAATAAGAACGTCTGAACAAACCTCTTAGAGTACCATGTGCCATAAATGGCTTGGTCAACTGTAAACCACCACCCCTCCTCTGACTTCTCTCACCCACTCACACCCAATTAACTGTTAAGTTCTGTCTAGTTATCCCAGGAATAGCTTTTTACATTTAACAAAGACAATCTTGTTCTAACGTACTTTTTCAGCTTCATGCCTGCTGGTCCCCTTTCATGTGTTCCAGCCAAAGAAAACTTGCTATTGTCCAAACATGTCACTTGCTTTCTCTCCTTTGTGCCCATTGATCCCTCTGACTGGAAAATCCTTTCCTCTTCTTTATTGAGCCAAATCCTACCCATCAGCTATGAAATCTTCTCAAACAGCTTTTCCTCTGATGCCCCACTGCACATTTGCCTATACTGCTTTTGGGTGAATTGTCAGTTCTGTGTTTACCCGTATTATCTCCCATAATGAAACATAAAATCCCAGGAAGCATGCCTTCCTCATCTTAGCATTTTTAGCACTTCGCACAGTGCTGGGCACACATGAATGTGTTGAATGAATGAATGTATATCACAGAATGGAAGGTACAAAGTCATAGCTTGGCATTTTCCATAATAGTGTATTTTCAACCCTTACAGAAATAGATTTGCAGTGGAATGTGTACTATTTAGCAGCTGAATTCAGACTTGGGGAAGAGCCCAGAAACTGCTACACTTCACAGATGGTCATTTGGAAAAAGAAAATTACTGCAGGGAGCTTGTTTAGCTATTTAATAGTAGCTCAGTAATGGGTCAAAATGTCTGATTCTCTTGAGATCCCTATCTGGGGACAAGAATGATATGATACACCTCCTCTCCCATGTAAAACCCCAGGTTCACTCCAATGCATTCTTCCAGTGAACTATGAAAGCAAAGTGGACTGTTAAGTCTTCCCCTTGTATAAAGTGGAATCCACAGGCCTGTGACTCTTCTGATTGGAGCCAGGGTACTGTGCTGGCCACCATCTGAGGCTGCCTAGGACCTGAGCAGAACTGAAAATTTGGCTCTATAGGAAAACCACAGGGAACTTCAAATTAGATTCTTTTCCTTGGGCAGACTTTAGACGCACCATACAAGTAAGTATAAACAGCCTGAGCACTTCTTGGACCAAAATCACATTATAAACCCTCAAAGGCATATGCAATTTTATTCACTGCTTGCTATTTAAACCTTAAAAGGAAGACTGGTTCCTCTAAAATTTTTTCTGCATAGCTCACTTGAAAAGTTTTCTTTTTGTTAATCCTCACCTGAGGACATTTTTCCATTGATTTTTTTTTTTAAGAGAGTGGAAGGGAAGAGGAGAGACAAAGTGAGAGAGATACACTGATTGGTTGCTTCCAGAAGGTGCAAGCGAGGTTCTTGCCATTGATCAGAATTGGTCCCATGACCCTTCAGTCCACGGGCTGACGCTCTATCCATAGAACCAAACCAGTTAGGGCACCGCTCGTTTTTTTAAAAACATGCTGCTAACACAGACAGAAAGAGATTTTCTTATGCCTGATAAACTTGCCTGTCATGATCTTTATCCACCAGATGATACCTTGCTCGGAATGCTACAAGCCGGGCATAGTACGCAGGGGCTGGAATAGAGACTGAGCGTGTGCACCGCACATAGGTGTGGCATAGCTGGTAAGTCAGTAGCTGGAGCTCGTCTGCAGTGAAGCAGTTGTCATCCCACAAGACCTGGTAATGTGAAGGACGACTGGTTCCCTGGAGAGAGAGTTTTCTGATGAATACATTTCTGATATTGGTTGACTACTTGGGAGAAGAACTGAAATCTACTCCTTAAACTCAGAAGTTTTCCTGCCTAGCACACCTACAAGCAGATACCTAGACCAAAAGATAACAGTTCTAGGATACAAGCATTAACAAAGTTATACACCGTGTATAGTAACAAGTCTACTCAGGCTAGTTGCTGCGTTTGCAAACATCTCCCTATCAAGTGAAAGATCTGGACCAGTTTCCAAATTACCTGAATTCCTGCGTGACTACAGAGGTAAAAGTCAAATTCGGATGGATGTGTGATGGTGCTATCCACGGTAGTGCCTGCTGGTACATTGCCACTTTTACCCACCTATAAAAAAAAAGTGTAATTAGTCACCAATAGGCCAACCTGAGCTCAGGTCATTTTTTTCTTTTATGTTAATTGGCAACAAGTTATAAGTTGCTCTTGCAAACAGGTTTAATTCAAGATGTTGAACTTTTTCTTAGTCCAACCATTTCATCCATAAGTATTTTCTCAAATATACTCCATGGTTTCTCTAGGAGGGTCCAGATAAGTAATTATTTTAGTAGTGGCTTTGGGCTAAATGATTGTCCTCTATTAACAGATGACACATTGGTGTGTTCATGGATGAAAAGAAAAAAAGATGGGTAAGATTCCTGAGAAAAATTACTTTTATTCCTTATTTGGAATTTAAAAAAATCCACAACTTGTAGTAAAAGTTAAGATGAAGCAATTTGTTGTTGTTGTTAATCCTCACCCAAGAATATTTTTCCATTGATTTTTAGAGAGAGTGAAAGGGAGAGGGAGAGTCAGAGAGAGAAACATCAATGTGAGAGAGAGACATCAATTGGTTGCCTCCCATTCATGCCCTAACCAGGGTGGGGGATTAAGCTGCCACAGAGATACATGCCCTTGACCAGAATCGAACCCAGTACCTTCAGTCCACAGGCCTATGTTCTATCCACTGAGCCAAACTGACTATGGCAAGATGAAGAAATCTTTGAACTGATTTAATAAAACTAACACTTTTAGGGGATCAATAAAAGAAGACACTGGCAGATGCCTTATTAGGAAGTTCACTGAAATGGGATCAGGAAACCAGAGTTTCAGATCTAGGCCTAGTGTTGCAACTCCATACCTTGAACAAAGTATATTGCTAGGCCTCAATCTAATCAGCTATAAAATCCAGTAATAATATCTTATACTTTAAAAATTCCAAAGTTCTTCTATGGTCAAAACTCTAGGATCAAACTTCCAGAAAAGAGAACTTTAGAAATGGATTTACAAGGAAAGAAATTAAATCTTGCTATTTGGACAATTTTCGTCCTCTTCTGCTATATAGCAGGGTTCCATGTGAGAAACTTGATTTGTCATCTATGCACAAATTTAATGGGAGTTTATCTGGCTCCATTCTATCGGTGGTTATTTTCAGCTGAGGATCATACACCAATGCATACAAGTACATCTGTGAGTAAAGAAAAGTCTCATTCCATCAAATTCAGATGTGTACTCAGGTCCTAACTGAACAAGAGAAAATGTAACTTAGTTAAAATAGTTCTAGCACTGCTTACCAAAGTACAATCTTTAGGAACATTAGTTCTGCAGAATGCATTTGGGTATGTTGTGGTCAAACAAATTTGTAAAATACTGAATTAATCAAAATTTAAATGGTTTTTCCACTGCAGGACTTCTCATAACCTTTACTTAATAAGGTAAAATCTTAAAGAGGGAGATGCAGTATATGGCATTTCCCAAACTTATTGGACCATAGAATCTATTTTTTTAAAAATCTCTTGGACTCCAGAGATGAGAGCCTAAGGAGGTGATGTCCTGGGGAAAGGGGGATCCAGGCATGTTCAATTCAACAATTACTGCTTGAGCACCCATGTGCAAGGCTCTGCAGCAAATATTTGGGAGGAGCCGAAACTGGTTTGGCTCAATGGATAGAGCGTCGGCTTGGGGACTGAAGGGTCCCAGGTGTGATTCCGGCCAAGGGCATGTACCTTGGTTGTGGGCATATCCCCAGTAGGGTGTGTGCAAGAAGCAGCTGATTGATGACTCTCTCTCATCGATGTTTCTAACTCTCTATCTCTCTCCCTTCCTCTCTGTACAAAATCAATAAAATATATTTATTAAAAAAAAATGTTTGGGAGGAAAGACAAAGGCACAGAGAGAACTAATGAACATGGCTTCCTGCCCTTCATGGAAACGATATACAATGCACTGCAAAGCAATGTGAAAAGGGCACTATGGAAGGCCCTGGGAAAAGCTGGTGGGAGGAAATAGGAGAGTCATGCTACAGGATAAGCAGCAGCTGAAAGGGGGCCTTGGGATGAAAACAGGAAATTCTCCAAATATCCCCTCAATACAGAAATGGATAAACAAACTGTGGCTCATCCATATCATGAAATACTACTCAGCAATAGAAAGAAACAAACTCTTGATACACACGAAAACTTGGGTGAATCTTAAGTGCATTAGGCTAAGTAAAAGAAGCCCAACTCAAAAGCTATGGGAATCCATTTATATGACATTGGGGGGGAGGGAGGGGAGAGAAACAACTATAGGGACATAACAGTGGTTGCCAGGGACTGTAGGCAAAGGAAAGGGTTGACTATGAAAGGACGTGAGAAACTTTTGTGTGTGTGACTGTTCGATATCTTTACTGAGGTGATGGCTATACAACTACATGCATTTGTTAAAACTTGCAGAACAGTATATTAAAAAGGGAAAAATTTACTGTTTCTATATCATACCTTAATATATATATATATATATATATATATATATACACACACACACACACACACACACACACACACACACACACACATTTATTTATTTATTTATTTATAAATAATATACTAAGTGTCTGACCATCCAACCAGTTGCTATGATGTGCACTCACCACCAGGGGGCAGACGCTCAACACAGGAGCTGCCAAGCTGTACTGACTTGGCAGCAGCAGTTCTTAGGTGACTCACCCCAAAACCAGAGGGGAGGGAGCCAAATTCCTTGCAGGGCCATGCGATTCTACCTTCGTCTGTGGGTTATGTTGTTGCTGGGGCACTGTTATCCCCAAATCTGGTTTACTACACCCTTGCATTCCACAACCTGTAGGACAGCAACTTTGCAGAGTGCTCTCTCGCACTCTGGGACCCCTTGGGGGGTGTTGGAGAGCCGTTTTGGCCCAATCCCTGCTCACTCCACAGATACAGGAGAGGGACTGCAGGAGGTTGGCTCCAGAGTGTGACTGGCCCTTCTCACCCAGTCCTGCCCTGCCGGCCATCTTCTAATTAATTTCCTTTCAATGTGCATGAATCCGTGCACTGGATCATTAGTTTTTTAATAGAAAAAAAGGGTGGGGGGCTGTTGGATGGATGTGGTCATTTCAGGGATGAAAATGTACAACGTATATGGGAAATGGAAGGTATATAAGGGTATGATGAAAGATGAGACTAAAATGTTATGTTTTGGCTAACTGAACAGCACAGGAGAACATTCGGTAGGCAGTGGATCAGAAGAGTTTTGAGCAGTGGGTAAGATTTGTATCTTAAAACCTAGCCTTGAGAGCAGCTAGAGGATACATCTGTGGAGAAATGGAGACAGAAACCACTAGGAGTCTCCTGCAATACAGAAGAAGTCTGCCTAGAGTAGAAGGAACACACAAGAGAAAGAACTGGGAGGAGAGATTTCAGGGCAGAGCAGAGGACTATTTGACTAACTGGATATAGGGGGACAGGAAAGGAGGAGAAGAGTTTAAAGACAATTCTGAAATTTCTAGCTTGGCTGACTTAATATACAGTTATGCCAAGTAACACAAGAGAAAAAAATTGGGGGAAGCACAAGTTTTGGATGAGGATAAAACAGTAGGTAAAAGGTTTAGACGTGTTTTGCTAGAAATGCCTGTGGCAGATTGTATCACTGGTGCCAAATGTTCCTGTGCCCCTCCCTAGGGAAGGATTATACCTCCCCACCTGATTAACTCAGGAGTGGCCAAGTAACTGGCTTTGGCAGAATAAAAAGTGGCCTGAAATGTGTTACTTCTGTGCAGACTCTTTAAGAGCCAGCACATGGCTTGTCATGTATCTCCTTGAGCCCCCCTCTCACCTCCCCTCACCTCCTCCCCTGACCCACTACAATGACTGGCAATGTTCCAGGCAGATGTTTCTCTATCAGCCTAGGTTCTGAAGGGAGGACAATGGGGTCACAGCTGATTGCTACAGAATCACAGTGAATGTGTAACATGAGCAAGAAATAAATCTTTGTAAGCCACCATGACTTTGGAGTTTTTTGCATGGCCTAGCTTATCTTGACTGACACTATGCCTATAGGGCATCTAAGTAAATCTATCTGATAGATAACTGGAAGTGTCAGTTGGAAGCTCCATAGAAAAGTTTGGGGCTGGAAACACAGCTTCAGGAAATGATAAGCAAATGAGTGAACCCAGAGAAGTGAGTGAGACTATAAAGAGAGTTGAAATTGAGAAGGAGAAGTGTGAAATGCCAGGAAACAGCATTTGATGGACGGAGGAGGTAGAAGAGTCAAAGAAAGCCTACTGAGAGATGGGTAGTGAACCTGGCCAAAGAAGGCAATAACTGTCAATGCTGCAAAGAGGTCAGTGTGGGAACCTGACAGGATATCACTGCATTTAAAATGAGCAAGTCATGAAGAGAGCAACCTCAGTGGAGTCACTGAAGTCGAAGCCAAGCTACAGGGAACTGAAGTATGACTTGAGGAGGTACAGATAGAAAGGCAAATCTTTTTGTCGGAAAAGTTGGTCATGAAATGAAGGAAAGATAAGGTGGCAGGTAGACTGAGGGAGAAGCAGAGAGAAGTTTCTTTGGGTGACTAAGGAAAAGTTGAGAAAGTTTAGAGGGTGAGGAGAAGGAAGTAAACTAATGGGAAAGATTAAACTTTTGAAAAATAAAGGGTGATTAATAAAGTGAGGCTGGAGAGAGCAGAGGATTAGGAACAAAAGCATAAGCAGAATAAAAAAAACTTAGGTGGAGAGATTACCTCTTAAATGTGAGGAAGGAGGTAAGATGTGAGGAAGGATTATAATCCATAATAGAAAATTTAATTAAATTTGAAAGTAGAGGAAGGAATGCCAAGAAAATGCCTTCTAGATTTTTATTTTCTGAGGGAAATACGAGATTGTTCTATCATGGGCAATATAAATTGTTGGCAATAAAGGGTAGGAGAGCTGAGAAGAGCCCAAAAGTTTTGGAACAGATACAATGGGGAATAAAATAATTGAAAAAATTGCAACCTCAAAGGCCTGGCTGAGATGTGCTACTATGAATTTGCATAATACACATCATTATTAAACAATTGACTCTTTTCTTCGGCAATCTCCATCAGCCTAAGAGTAGAAGCAAGGAAAATGGGCAAGTGGAATGGTTCAGAGCCGGAGATTAGCGAGAGGCATGTTCAGAGGAGTGAAGATGTTGATAAGGTGAGGGATGCCAAGTAGACCTAGGACTGGAATTGTCAATCTTGAGTGACACTGGATAGTAAAGAGCAAACCTGTCACATCGCTTGGGGTTTCAGAAAGATAATCCAAGTCCAAAAGCTACATGGATAGCAAGTTGACAGAGGGTGAAAGGGTGATAATTCAGTTAAGAAGGAGTTGGCAGGATGTGCTCAGAACTTGGGCAATCGTTCAGGGAATCTGTATTAGCAGAATCGAAGAAGTACTACCGAGTGAGGGTTTGGGCAATAGAGCCCCAAGGAGAAAACCTTAGTTCTCTAATGATTTAGAAAGCACAAACAGCCTTGGATTAAAGGAAAAAACTGCCGAAACTGATTTGGCTCAGTGGATAGCGTGTTGGCCTGTGGACTCAAGGGTCCCAGGTTCAATTCCGGTCATGGCATGTATTATACTTTGGTTGCAGGCACATCCCCAGTAGGGGGCATGCAAGAGGCAGTTGATCGATGACTCTCTCATCGATGTTTCTAACTCTCTAACTCTCTCCCTTCCTCTCTATAAAAAATCAATAAAATATATTTTAAAAAAATAAAGGCAAAAACTAAGGCCATACTAGAAAATAGTGTGAGTACCCTCAAGATTACATAATTAGGCAGCAGAGAGAACTGGTCTCCCTGGGGTTGGATCAGGGAGGACCTGGAAAAGATGAAGTAGTGTCATAAAAATATTGCAGAAGCAAAGTCTCCAAAATCATGTGCTTACCTGGCTTACACATAAAGATAAGATCATAAATAGATACATTACACAAAATGCCTTTAGTCAAGTGTTGGGAACTATACCACAAATCAACATCATTTATTAATTTAATCATTACAACAATCCTGTGATATAGATATTGTTCTTCTCCTTAAATACATTTTTATTGATTTTAGAGAGGAAGAGAGAGGGAGAGGGAGAGAGAGAGATAGAAACATTAATTATTGATCGGCTGCCTTCTGAATGTCCCACACTGGGGATCAAACTCATAATCCAGGCATATGCCCTGACCAGGAATCGAACCGTGACCTCCAGGTTCATAGGTCCATGGTCAACCACTGAGCTATGTCGGCTGGGCCAGGCATTGTTCTTAATAAATTTTACAGTTGAGAACATTATGGCTTAGAGAAGTTAAGTAACCTGCCCATTGTTAGTAAGTGTGACATCATAAATATTCAAAGTTTGTACCCTAAGAATCCCCTACAATGATATAAAGTCATTTAGAAGAGAAATTCTTCTTTGTACCCTGGAACCATGCCTCAGGCACTGGCAGCAATAGGTAGCAAATGGAAATCAAGTCCAGATGGATCAACCTGTCCTTTGAAGGTTTGCCTTTATCACCCTAATGGACCCAGCATGTTTCTGACCTCCCTTCTAAAAACTCTACAAACAAGAAATATATTCAGTCTTGCAACCTGTAACATTCAGAATTGGTCATCTAAGATGAGCTATAATTAGTACATTTATTAAGTTATTATGAGGCACTTCTCCTTTTAGAAAAAAAATGGTCTGGATATCCACTCAAAAAACACATTTACTTGTATCAGATAGTAAAGTTTATCCTATGTTTTCTTACCCTTTCTGCTTTCTCCGCACAGAAGAGTCGTGTGTGATGTCTTTTCTGTACCACAATGTAAGTTATTCCTGGCCGGTAATCTTCTTCCAAGCTAATACATGCCTTTCGAATTGCTATTAGTTCTGGCCAAGCTACCTGGGAGTTACAAACGGAATGACACTGAATTGAGAACTCACCTCGTATCTCTCAGGTCTGATTTACTCAGAGTGGCAGATGAAAGGGGGCCCGGTCCTACACCTACAAGCCCCAAAGGCAGGTATGGGATGAGAGTACCTGCTTCATTTGTCCCTCGGATACCCCTCCACGGTAGTAGATGATCCGTGTAGGTTTGAAGCGTGTGGACTTGTAGAACTGGATCAGCAGCTCTCGAACCATGGTAGTGAGGTCCTGGATCACCTCCTGACTATAGAGGAGCTCCTGGGAGACCTCTTGGCGGGAGGTCTGCACCCGAACAGTGGCACAGTACCGGCTGGGGTGGCCATCCATACTGCCAACGACAGCAGCGATGGAAGGCTTCTTCCCATCCCCTGCAGGGGGGTGGGTGACATCTGCTCCCAGGAAGATGACAGGCTGCTGGAATACCGATGGCCTGCTCAGATTTAAAGACACATTGCCACTCAGATATACAGGTGAAAATGTTTGGGTTTAGCAAGCTCACCAATATAATCACAAATATCCTATATAATAAAGGATAATATGCAAATTGACCAAACAGTGGAACCACAGGTCACTATGATACGCACTGACCTCCAGGGGACAGATGCTCAATGCAGGAAAATGAATCACCAATCAGTGAAAATGATCACCAAGGGGCACTTAAATGAATCACCAATCAGTGAAAATGATCACCAAGGGGCACTTAACCAGAAGCACTGAGCTGGGCTCACAACTGGTGAGTGCAGTGGTGGCGGAGGGAGCATCTCCTGCTTCCAATGCAGCACTAAGGATGTCTGACTGATGGCTTAGGCCCGCTCCCCAAGAGGGTGCAGGCCAGGACACCTGTCCCCTGAGTGCACAAATTTTGTGCACTGGGCCTCTAGAATTCTAATAAGAGAGAATAAAGACTTATGCCCATTGGAAGAGAACTCTAAGGCCCACTGAGTACCAGTACCACCCAGTACAGTGAATCTGAATTGACTGCAGAAATCAACATGGTTCTTCTGTCACAGTAGGAAAAAAAGAATTAAAAGAGGACCCATGCCCTGGCTGATGTGGCTCAGTGGTAGAGTGTTGGCCTGAGGATGGAAGGCTCACAGGTTGTATTCTCCAGCAAAGGCACATACCTGGGTTGCAGGTTCAATCCCTGCAGAAGGCAACCAATCAATGTGTCTTTCTCACATCGATGCTTCTCTTTCTCTCCTCTCTTCCCCTCCCTCACACTTTCCCCTTCTCTTTAGTAATCAATGGGAAAAATATTCTCAGGTGAGGATTAACAAAAAAAAAAAAGAAAGAAAAGAATTAACCAAATGGGTGCATAAACAAGTAGAGCAACAAATCAATGTCTCCTCTTTCTCTTTTCCCCCTTCTTCTCTCTCTAAAATAAATACATACATACTTACATAAATAAGTTTAAAAAATAATTATAAAAAGAAAAAGCAATCGAGATGCATATTTGAGATTTGTATGCTTTGCTGTAAACTAAATGCTAGATCTTAATTTTAAAAAGTGGGAAAAAGTAGGGTTCAGAATCTTACCTTTGATGAGGTACAAGAACGTTGTTAATTCCTCCCAGCTTTGCATTTATCTTCAGGCAAAGGTTGGAAAGGGTTTGGGGTGAGGTCTTCACTACATTCTTTACCTGGACACACTGTGTGGCCATACCCAGGAGGGTATCTCCAACACGTTTCACCTCCGCTACAAAAATAAGTTAATTGATTTTTTAAAAATGTTTAAGTATTCTGTCAATTACTAAGAGTAAAGGGGGGAAATCCACACCCTGACTTTTAGAGGGTGCCTGCTACATACTGTACATTGTGCTAGATACTTTTCTTGTGTGGTGTTTTCATTTGCTAACCCCCCAGGGCAATATTTCTTTTCAGTTTGTGTAGGCCATTCCCCACCCCTTTTCTTCACTCCCAAAGGCTTTTAAACTAGCCTACTTTCTTTATTCTATGATGCTGCCTGCCACCACTCACTCAGTCCTGTGAGGTTCCTTTTCCCACAGGACTAACCTGACAAAGGAATCAATCTCCCTAGCTCCTCCCTCTCACTATACATATATCAGCCCTTTGAATTTTTTTCTCCTCTATTCCAATATCTCCCCTATTCCCCCCCGGCAAAAAAAAAGAAAAAAAGAAAAAAGAAAAAAACTGAAGGTAACAAAAGAAACTAATTTGAAGACATTTTATAAAGTTCAAATAGCTGGTTTTATAGTTCCCAAATCCTTTACTTAGATAATAGCCAAAAAGACTTTATATCATTCTTCTTTTCTTTTCTTTTTTAAAATATATTTTTATTTATTTTTACAGAGAGGAAAGGAGAGGGATAGAAAGTCAGAAACACTGATGAGAGAGAATCATCGATCAGCTGCCTCTTGCACACCTCCCACTGGGGATGTGCCTGCAACCCAGGTACATGCCCTTGACCGGAATCAAACCCGGGACCTACCAGTCCGCGGGCTGACACTCTAACCACCGAGCCAAACCGGTTTCGGCTATATCATTCTTCTTATAACAAATACAAACTAAATGCCTCCTCTTTCCCACTCTGATATTCCTGTTTTTAGCCAACATTCCAGTTCTTCCTGCTTTGGGGCTAGGATAGAATTTCACTGCAGCCCACTGTATTTCCTGGCCCCATTCCCATTTGCCTCACACAGGTTGGGTGGGCCAAACACAGCTGGTTGTGGCCAAGAAGTTGCAGATGTTAAGAACCCTCTAGAGCTCTCTTTTCTCTCTGCCATGGAGCCAGCAACATTACACATGGTGACTGCTCTGCCAACCTGGGTTCCAGAGTGAAAATGATATGTTAGTATGGAGCCACAGCTGCAGTCTACCCTCAGTGATCACACAGCAGCAGCAGAAAGCAAACCTTTGCTGCTTGGAGACCCTGCGAGTCCAGGGTTGTTTGTGCCTGAAGCATAACCTAGTTTATCCTGAGTGTTACATCTACTATTGAAATCATCCTTCATTCAGCATTAAAGGAATCCATACCATATACTGGCGTCTTCCCAGGCAAGATCACCACTATTAGCTGTAGGCCCACATATGTCATTTTTAGATGTTTAAACATGGGCTCCACGCTGTCTGCACCTTGTGCATACTTGCAGAAACATGGCTGACCCTGGATGGGCATTCCTGCATCCTTAGAGATTTTACGGAGCTGGTCAGTGAAACTCCTGTTAAAACAGAACCAGTGGCACAGCGCTTTCATTTCAGAGTACATTTTTAACATCTATTTCCCTCTATGATACTTCTTTCAGTTCTGCAAATTCTTAGCCAAAATGAGATATAAACAAATAAACAACAACAAAAATCTTTAGCTTGTTGCAAAAAAATAGACTGGCAGTTGTATTGTTAAGCTATCAGATTATCATTTTGTAATGCAGAAGAATCTGTATTATTAAACTATCAGATTATCATTTTGAATTTGTAAATAATTATGCCTCTGTTAGGCTTCAGGGTCTAGAATAACATTCCTGCCCAAAGATTTTTTTAATTTTTTAAACATTCCAGTCAGTAATTTTGGACTGAAGAAAAGCAAAGCCAAAATTTCAGGTAATGTGTATTTTGGTAAGCCTGCTAAGAGAATAGTTGAGTAAGCTTTTGTAAGCTTGTATTCCATTCAGATCACAGATACACGCTATTACACAATCAGTGCATTTAGGACTACATTCAAACTAGTAACAGACTGAATCAAGACAATATCAAAAGAAATCATCACTTCAGAAAAGAAAAACTCATGAAATTTTAAACTTTAGATTTAAGAAATTACTTCAATCTATGTATAAAGTTTTCAGAATAATTTCTTTTGTGCAATATTTGCCAATATTCTGTAGGATTCCTTTCTTTCATCCCAGTTCCCTTTTCCTGCCTTGATTTTTCCACCCTTCTAACTTCCTTTATATCAATACCTGAATGTGTATGACATGAACCAGAGATCTGAGTCAGTGACCCTTCAGTAAAACATGCTTGCTAGTAAATCAGAATGATTCAAAATGAACTCATTTTTATCTTAGCTGAAAAGATACAATTAATACCAAAGGAAGCTTCACTAAGAACCCAAGAATTTGCCAACCGGCACTACTTCAACCTTGTTAGTCACAAATTTCTGCTCTAAATGTAAGGAAGCTGAGTCAGATTCTTAATGCAATTCCCAAATTGGCCATTTACTATAATATAAGGTGTTTTTCCTATAGCCAGATGGTGCCACTATAGGAGGCAGGGATTTAGTGCCAGTGCACACAGCACATTCACAGAAAGATGGTGTTTTCATTATCTGGAAGGGATATTACTAAGCTGAAAATATGAAGATACTCACTTTAGTAAATCTTCCCTACATTGTTTCTGAGGCGCAAAACAAGCAACTGCCCAAACTTTAATTTCAATGCCAGCATAAAACTGCTTTCCTCGCATGTCCCAGACACCCTGGTTGGGTGTGGCTACTGTTTTATTCTTTAAAAACAAAACAAAACAAAAAAAGAAACAAAAGAAAAGAGAAAAGACATTACAATCTAAGGCCATTTGAATATTGATGAGGGGACAAACAGAACTCTATTTGGTATTAGCCAAAAGACAAAGAGCAATCATAAGCAAAACTATGGGTAAATTCACTGTGGCTTGTAGAAAAAGTCCTCAATTATTCTCTTTTTGACTGGTTATTGGAAGAAGCTTGCTGAATAAAATAAAAAGCTTACCCGGCCTCCATACTGTAGCATTGGTGCTGGAAGTACCCTGCCTGTGAGCTCTGTCATTTCATTGTGGACAACAATACCAAATTCTTTAAGGTATGGATCAGGTCCACCCACCATGCTGTTACTCTTCACCTAAAGGACAGGAAAGCCTGCATATATAAAAACCAAAGAGTAACTGTGTCCCATCAGGAGTTTTTCTACTTTTCCATGTTAAAGCTAGCTTATCTTAAAGGCCATGCCTTACTGACCAGTCTACTGATTTCTTCCTGTCGGTCAGGAGCAGATCTTGCTGTGGCTTTGATCATCGTGGAAGTCTGATTGTCTGTAAGTTTCTTTATACATCGCTGTCCAGCCACTATATTACAGACCTGCCAAGAGGCAAAGAGAAATTTCGTTTGTGTAATGGGCTTCTATATCTTAAGCCTTTGCCAAACTCTATGTTACATCTTCCGTTTTCCCCCAAGATGAAAATTCTGTTAGTCAGCCCCAATATCTCAGAAATTAATTCTAAATTCTACTGCTCGTTTAGACATGACTTTTATTTATTTATTTTTTTTAATTCATTCAAGAAATTGGCAGGTTGGCAAAAGAAAATTTACCTCAAGTGGCAAGTATGTATGCTTTTGTTCTTGTCCCACTTGGAGACAGGGAAGATGAGGATATTTCAGCTGCAGGCTATACTTTTGCTTAAAATATTGAGCTACAGTACATTCCATGGCTTGACCATTTTCTAGCTGTAAAGGAAAACTACAAGAGACAACGTCTTTTTAGAAATTTCAAGTTCTTTTTTCTGAAACAAGCAAACAAACAAAAATCTACTAACATTTTCTACGATGATCAGTCACTTAAAAACAAAGGTCAATCTTTATTTGAATATTTTTACCAAAGTCATTTTAGTATTAAACACATCTGTGATTATGCTGGAATTTTCCATGTTTTCTTAAAGCTAAAATGAGAAAATAATTTAATTGAAGTTTTAAAAGAACTTAAAACAAGAAGAAGCTGCAGAATCAGAAATTACATAGACTTCTCAGAGGTCAGATAACACCTACAGACACAATCTGGTGGTGGATTCTCGTAGATAGGAATTTTATTTGCTTAGGAGAATGTTTTTATAAAAGGAGTGTAGCATAGTTATTGGGCCCACATTTTCAGATCCCCAAACCAGGACAAATGTATGTAGATTTGGAGGCAAAAAGAACCAATACATGAAATTGAAACTAAACTAGGATATTTGGTATAAACTAGGGAGAATGGCCCAGCCAATGTGGCTCAGTGGTTGAGCATCAACCTATGAACCAGGAGGTCATGGTTCCATTCACAGTCAGGGCACATGCCAAGTTGCAGGCTCTTTCCCCAGTGGGGGATGTGCAGGAGGCAGCTGATCAATGGTTCTCTCTCATCATTTATGTTTCTATCATTCTCCCTTCCTCTCTGAAATCAATAAAATCCTCCTATATAATAAAAGGCTAATATGCAAATCAACCAAATGGAAGAACGACTGGTCATTATGATGCACACTGACCACCAGGGGGCAGATGCTCAATGCAGGAGCTGCCCCCTGGTGGTCAGTGCACTCCCATAGGGGAGCACCACTCAGCCAGAAACTGGGCTCAGGCTGGCAAGTGCAGCAGCAGTGGTGGGAGCCTCTCCCACCTCAGCAAGCAGTGCTAATGATGTCTGACTGCCGGCTTAGGCCTGCTCCACATGACATCCCCCAAGCATTCCCAGATTGCAACAGGGCGCAGGCCAGGCTGAGAGACCTCTCCTCCCCTGAGTGCATGAATTTCATGCACCAAGCCTCTAGTAAATAAAAAGACAAACAAACTGGGGAGCATGGTTTAAAAGGCTCTGAATTTGGCTCTTCTAGTGAGAAAATTATCTCAAATACTTGGCACAATATTTTAAAAAAATATATTTTATTGATTTAGAGAGAAAGGCAAAGGGAGAGCATGAGAGAGAAAGAAACATTGAACTCCCAACCTGTGTATGTGCCCTGATTGGGAATTGAACAAGTGATCTTTTGGTGCACAAATGACACTCAACAACAGAGTCACATTGGCAAGGGCACTTGGCACAATAACTTTAATCTTGCTTTCTTAATTGTTACAGCCTCACAAAATAACAATGCAGTAAGAATCATATATCAGGGGTGGGGAACCTTTTTTAGCCAAGGGCCATTTGGATATTTATAACATCTTTCACAGGCCATACAAAATTATCAACAAAAATTAGCTGCTATACTTGGTCAAACATTTAATTCACCCTTAATGCCTTGGCAGGGTCAGACCAAATTATTTCTCAGGCCTTTTATGGCTCGCAGGCTGGATGTTCCCCACCCCTGATCTATGTAAAACTCATATAACTCTCCTGGTCCAAATTCAGAATTTCAGTTTATATTATCTCACCGATCACTTCAAGGCAATTAGGCATCTATGTCAAAGGAGGACATTACTTGTTAAGCCCCAGGTAGATCCAAGGATGTTTATATTTCTAGATTAAAATCAGTGCACTAATGGAAAATAAATCCATGTTTGAAACAGTTTAGAGGTAAATCTTATTTGATATTGCAAAATGGAGAAGGAAAACATTTCTTGCAACAATGACATTTTAATTATTGTTAAAGGTTCACAGTCTATTTTGTAAGAATATGTTGTACTAAAAACTGGTAGCCTTTTGCAGATTCTAAAGTCTAAGTAATAATATAAACAAAATTAAAAGTTAATTCCCTTGAAAAAAGTTTTAAAAATAAATCTACATGCTTTTAATTTTAGTGCAAAAATTATATAGGTCTGTAAGTATAATTATTCTTACAGGGTTATGTAAAATAATCAAACAATGAAAAAGACACAGTTCCTCTTGAAACACATGCTAAAATTCTCAATAGTAATTTCATAAGATTTTGATAACTTTTTTGAGAATGAGGTCAATGATATACTATTAAGAATACAGTAAATATCATTTTACAACTCTTAAGAAATACATGTCACATGTACATTAGTTCATACTGAAGAAGTTATTCAAATCAGACTGAATTAACATACCCCCTTTATCAGAGGTCACCCAAAAACTTTATCTAGACCAAAGGCCTCCAGGTAGTTTTGATGTGCACTAAAGTTTACAAATCGAGAACCATGGATCTAAAACAAAGTCAGAGTAGAATATAAGCAAAAACATTTAAAAATTTCAAAAGGCTTCTGAGTAATCAAAATAATGTAAAGTTTATCTATTTATTTTTAAGTTTATACATTTAGGTTCATGTTGTTTACTTAAAAGAGACAACATTTATGTTTATGTCAGATATGAGTGTAGTGATATAGATTATAAGAATAAAACTTGCATATATGGTGATATAAAAAACACTTTGATATATGTTTTCTCATAAGGCATAGTTTGCAATGAGTTAGAAATTGAATGATTAGAAAAATAAGATTAGGAAAGTGAAAATGAGTGTGCTGCTGCAGGCAGGCCACATACACTGACAGCTGGAGGAAGTGACAGCTAGGTACAAAAGGAGGGAGAAAAACCCACACAACTTTGTAAACTGGAAAGAAGTTTCAACTATGACTTACGGCCTTAATAGAACCTTTGGGCCATCCATTGAGAATTATAACAGTATAATAAATGATGTTTATAACGATAATATTCTGCATCATTATGTAAAAGTTGATTTATGCTTAGCATAATCTGGTGAAATGAATTAAAGGCAAGAAATATATATAAAAAATTTTTTAAAATATTTTTTAAACCTTTGGTGTTTAAACATGAAAATCTTGGCGATTTTGAAAAAATCACAATATGAGATACCAATTCCTCAAATGATGATAGTAGCTTCCGCTGTTACCAAAAATGTAATGTTATCATACTAATAAAAGGGTAATATGCTAATTAGGCTGGGTGACCAGACATCTTCTGGACTTCCAACTTCCTTTTGGACAGTTAGGGGGTGATGAGGTCAGCAGGCAGGCAGGCAAGTAGTTAGGAGCCCCAGGTTGCAAGAGGGATCCCTGATTGGAGAGAGTGCAGGCTAGGCTGAGGGACACCCCCCCCCCAAATTTCGTGCACCAGGCCTCTAGTTGTATATATTAACATACGTTTGATGACTGGCTGGCCGTCTAGTCACATTACAAACTCGGTATTTTCGCTTCATCTGTCCACAGTGAGTCACCTCAACTTTAAGACCTGAAGTTGAAAAAAAAAGTTAAAACATCAGTATTAATAAAATCACAGTGATAAAAACAGATTCAAATGTCTTCAGAAAGGCATGCCATTGTACAGGACATACATTGCAAGGTTGCAAGAACACTTTCATCAAGTATAGGCAAAAAGTCTCAGCTAAGCAGAAAATATTAGAATCCAGATGACTTAAGTTTTATAACCATTGTAATTTATTACTTCAATACATAATTACTAAGCATCAATTATGTTCTGGTGTTAATGAAGCTTAAATTCTAGTGAGAGAAGATAGCTAATAACAAACAAGAAAATAAATTCCAAAAGGAAAATAAATAAACTTGTGTTAGTTTATTAAAGTGGAGGTTTTTAAATGAGTAAGGATAACAGTTAGTAAATGTCTGATAGGTGCCAGGTATTGTGACAGAAGCTTATACATCTATTTGCATTTAATACTCACAATGATCTTACAAGTTATATTACCTTAGAGATGATTAATCTAAGGCTCACAGTGGTTAACTTGCCCAAAGTCCCAGTGATAGAACTTTCTGGGATGGGATGGAAGCCCAGGTGAATCTGATTCCAAGACCATGCTCCTTGCACCAGGCTGAACGGCCTTTCCAAGACTATTCTAATGCAAATACCTACCTCTGATTTCTTTGGTAAACTTGACACGCTGGGAGTCTGTTAGAGGTTTGGTCTGTTCGTTGATATTCTGAATGTCTAAAACTTCACACATGAACTCAATGATAGGCTGAGCCCGGTAGAAAGCAGTTGCAGATACTAACAAACAGAGAGGGAGGATACTTAGCTTCAGGGAAAGGGACAGGATTAAGAAAACCAATCAAAAGACTAAATGGTAAAGACAGTTCCAACCTACCATCAATATTGAGCATCATATTCCACATGGCAGGTCTCACAGACTGATGAAAGCCAAACCAAACTTCCCTGCCCCCTCCCAGGGGATGGTAGTAACCTTCCGGAGGTGAGAAAAAGGAACGGCCCACTGGAGTGTACCTGAAGGAATAAGAATTTGCATGTTTCACAATAAGAACTTATCTTTGTACATTGAAACCAAGTTTAAACTTTGGCTTATACAGAAAACGTTCAAGCCGGGACCAGTTTGGCTCAATGGATAGAGCGTCGGCTTGGGGACTGAGGGGTCCCGGGTTCGATTCTGGTCAAGGGCATGTACCTTGGTTGTGGGCATATCCCCGGTGGGGGGTGTGCAAGAGGCAGCTGATCGATGACTCTCTCTCATTGATGTTTCTAACTATCTCTCTCCCTTCCTTTCTGTATAAAATCAATAAAATATATTTTAAAAAAAGAAAAAAAAAAGAAAACGTTCAATAGCTCTAATGCAAACCATCAGAAAAAGGTCTGATATCTGTGGCAAAGAATTCAAACTAAGGTACTAACCTCATGGAGGGAAGATGTCTTGTAATAACATCAAGTGCTTGTACTGAGTCATCTGGGACTTCATTCAAATGCCCAGCTAAAGCTTCTAAAAGCATCTGAAGGCTCACAACGGACACCCACTGAACAGACACTTTAAAGGTTTGGTCTTTACCCTCACCCGGAAGGGTCACTTCCATATCAACCTAAGGAAAAATACAGGTACGTGCATATTTACAAAGGCTGAGAGAAAGGTCCCAGAAGTATTCAACATAGTATACGCATAAAGACATTTTACACTTCTGTAATTGCAAAACATTGGAAACAACCTACATGTCCATCAGCAGGGGAATATTTTAATACTAAACATGATACAATAGTTTAAAAATAAGGTAGATGCTAACAAAATGTATGACCCTCAAAAAACATTATGCTAAATGAAATAAGCCAGACACAAAATGACAAATATTGTGTGATTCCCCTTAGATGAAATGTACCTAGAATAGTCAAATTCATAGAGACAGGAAGTAAAATAGTGGTTACCAGAGACTGGAGGAGGAGGAAATGGGGAGTTATTATTTAATGGGTACAGAATTTCAGTTTGGGATGATGAAACATTTTTAGAGATGGATAGTGGTCATGATTGCACAAAATGTGAATATACTTACTAATAATGCCATAGAATTGTACATGTAAAAATGGTTAAAATAGTAAATTTTATATTATATACACTTCATCACAATAAAAAATTTTAATAAAAAAAATAGTAAGGTAGATTTAAATGTACAGAAATGGAAAGATTTCCTAGGCCTATTATTAAATGGAAAAATATATCAGATCAATATGCAAATAAATAATAATGTACATAAATAAATGCATAAATAGCTAATGCACATAAAAACATCTGAAAGGATACACACCAAGCTATTAGTTTCTTCTGAAAAGGAAAATGGGATTGAGGACAGGTGGAGAGTCAGGAAACCACAGCATTTCTAGGTTGACTAAATAAGTTTATAATGAGTATACAGTTGCATATTGCTTTTCTAATTTTAAAAATAAGTATTTTAATAAGTTACTGTGAATTATATGAATTGCTGAAGGGGGTTCTTTTGGAAGAGAAAGAAAATAAAGATAAAAATTATGAACAACAAATACATAACTATCAACAAGTGAATCTAAAAACCAAGGGAATTAAAAAACCTGATGAACTATATTAACTATTGAATATAATAGAATCAGAGGTATGTAAGGGGAGTGGACTGATGATTCTCAGGGAAAGGAGGAATGGGGGGTGTGGGAAGAGACTGAACATAAACTGTGCACCTATGGATGAGGACAACGGGGGCCTGGGAAAGGGAAAAGGGTGAGGTAGGAACCTGCTGGAGGGGGGAAAAATGAGGAACTTCTGTAATAATATGAACAATAAAGGTTTATTAAAATAAATAAATAAATAAAAAGTTACTGTGGTATTATGAATACTTTCATAAGTGGGTGCTATACAACATGCTACAATTTATAAAAACTCCATTGTTCAGATTCAGGTAGAACTTTAACAATGTGAGAAATCTAGAATACATATAAAGGTAGTGCAGTTAACTTAAATTCTAATGCTCATCTCATTCAATTATCGATTAGCTAAGGACAAGACAATATGGACCTATCATCACTATGAGAAACAACTAAGAATTGAATTATTAGAAAAGGAAACATTTTTGTCCTATGCAATTACTACTACATGTTAAGTTTAGTAAACATTTCTTGCTGTTAACACTTACCCTATCCCGTCCAATTGGCAGTGGATGTGCTGTGTACATGTTTCTTTTGCCATCATAGCCAGGCTGCCGATCACCAAATATCTGCATCTTGAAGTGCCGCACCATTGTATCTACTACCTCCCTTAACGGTAATGGAGATAGTGGAGGTTAGCTTTGAAAAATGGTGAATGGTAAGGAAACTATCATCAGACCTTACTCATCTAAATTCAGTTCAAAAGCCCTTAGAAAATATAAGCGTTAGAGTGACCACTGATTCAACTAATTAAAAAAATTGCTAATAGGCCCAGCCTATTGAGTGGCTCAGTTGTTGAGTGTTGATCTAAGAACCAGGAGTCACGGCTAGATTCCAGGTTGGGGCACATGCCTGGGTTGTAGGTTCAATACCCAGGGGTGAGCAGGAGGCAGACAATTGATGGTTCTCTCTCGTCATTGATGTTTCTATCTCTCTCACCTTCTTCTTTCCACTCTGAAATCAATAATATGTATATATTTAACAGCAACAAGGAAACACAAGCAACTCCAAGATAACAAAAGGGAGGAATAGAAGGAAAGAGATAAAACTGATGACATCCTCTCACACTCCTGCTTTCCAAATTCTTCCCCTATGATAAACATAGCCTTATAAGAAAGAATAACCTCTCTTAGGTATCTAAGCATAGCAAGTTCATAATTGAACTAGAGACCCAGTGCATGAGTTCATGCACAGGTGGTGTCTGGCTGGCCTGCCTTACCCTGCCCGCCCCAATTGGGCCAACTGGCAGGTTAGCTGGGAGGAGGAGCTGTGGGTGGTTGGATCAGGTTGGATTGGGGGTGGGGCCGGCTGGGTGGGCCTAGGGCAGTTGGCTGGCCCCACTCCTTGGTTGAATTCCCAGTCAAGGGACAATTTGCATATTAGCCTTTTATTATATAGGATGATAAGTTTGTTTCAAATATATGTCCTTATTCAAGTATACTAGTTTTGGAAAAGAAATTGGGCAGAAATTCAGAAACCTAAGGATCAATAAACCTAAGATGCATCATTCTCAAAGGAGTAAGTTGACCCCTTTGACTAATGCTGGCTATTTATAATTCTTCAGACTGTCTTGTTTTATTCCAAAGCGCTCTCAATCAGTGTAGAGAAGGGAATGTTGTGAAATATCCTCATTCCTAAAGGTTACCAATGTATTTTCTTCCCTTTTAGCATGAAAGCCTTTCTCTCAATCAAGCATGTATAGCTTTCCTTAAGTGTTCATGCATATATGCCAGATCACACTGAATCCAGGTCCTGAAATAAATGCAGTATGCAGTTTAAGAAGGAGTCTGTGAGATTTTGGAATGCTAGAATCAATGAAAAGTTGGGTGCTGCGAGTTACCAATGTTAGTGATAGCAAGAGCATCCTTAGAAAAGCAAGAATCTTAATATTAAAGAGTGTTTGAATATCAAAGTATGGAAACAGAGAAAAGGAAAGTGGGTGTTCTCAGCACCCTGTAAGAATATCTACTACAGGACTATGACTTCATGCTTGGTAAATACTTAAATCCACAATACTCAAATCACCTTTTCCAGACCCCTCTTGGGTAATGCTGGAATTAAACAGAACTTCTCTCTCAGCTTACTTTGTTCAATACTCCAAGATGATCCATATTTTTATCATGTCCATTACCAACACTTAATAATTACACAAATTTTTATCATGTCCATTACCAACACTTAATAATAAAATTTGAACTTCCAGGTAGTTCTATTTCCCATCGACACTAATGTCTTCACCTACTTTTATAAATTTCTGCTACCCTTGGACAATGAAATAGTGACCTCTCTTCTTCCTTCAATAAGTATTTACTGACTGAACAATGATGCTAGAATCTGTGGAGGATTACAAAGTATGAGACAGCAAAGAAACTTACCTTAGAGAAAAACAAAGCCTGCGTGCTGAAAGAATTAGAGAACAGTACGATACACAATAACTAAGTTATATGCATTGGTATGGAAGTCTAGTCTTTCTGATCCTTACCTGTTGACTCTACGAGGCCGTTTTTCTGGTTTAATATCCACATCATAGTGATACACATCTATTTTAGGAATCTGAACCTGAAAATGATTGGCTAACAGTCGAATTGGTTTTCCAACAGTTCCAAGGCCAGGACGACGAGGTGGCTGGAACAGGCTGGTTGGAGGTCCTGAAGAGATGGAAAGACATTCAATGTGCTACTTGGTCCTGAAGGATACTATTCCCTTCATGACGATGATGTTGATTATAGCTACAATGAACAAGGTCATATTATTTACTAAACTTAATATGATGTAAAGAGTTTGGGGTGTCTTTTGACCTAAGGTTCTCTAGATTTCTAATATTTTACCATGCTGTCATTATTCTGAATATGAGGAACATCAACATGAGATAGTATGATGAACTCCTCTCAGATGTCAGCCACCGTAGAAAAACCTTTTATGAACATTAGTAGATCTATATATAAATAGGCTCACACGACTATATGCATTTTTCTGGGTACCATCATCATGTTTGGGCTGGAGATGATCCACTAATCTTCCACAAATTAGCGTACATTACGGTAAATTGTATGGACAGGTGGAGGTTAAACAGCAGCTATATTTATCAATTTACTTACTAATTTAGATAGTGAAACAATACCAATAATGCTAAATCTCCCTGTTTATAACCTGATAGTTTTAGAATCTGTGCAATCTGATATTTCCTGATCATAAGGTTTAGTTTATTTATTTATTTACCAAACATTGATTCATGATTACATGTCTAATCTGCACAGTGGACTCAGGAAAAAGACAGCCTCTGCTTTCAAGAACTCACAGTCTAAACCAGTTTTCTTCCCAGGGGAGATTTTGTCCCACAGGAAACGTGGCAAATGTCTGGAGATATTTTTAATTGTCACCCTTGGGGGGAGGGGGGGAGTGCTACTGACATGTAGGTTTGGGGAAACACAGTCTGGGAAATATTTGTCTAGAAAAAAACCTTATTTCTTTTTTATGATAATGTCAAGTGGACACTGGCCTACAAAATATACATCTTTCCTGCTATGGGTGTTCAGTAAAGTGAGCTATGATTACAATGGAAAGTTACAACAGGTTCTTTTATTGCAATGGCATTTCGCCAAGAACAAAGACAATTCACTCAGGAAAGAAAACATTGATGCAAGAAGCTGTGTGGTCCAAGATCACTTAGGAACACTTTAATGAATTCTGTGTTGACAGATCACCATATACTAATTCTTCAAGTACTGAAATATTTTCACATATTAAATTCATTATTCATTCATCCCCTAAATTCTACTCATCTTTCAAAACCCAGGCCAGGTGTAATCTCCTTGGAAAACCTTCAGAATCTCCCAGGCTGGAGGATGCATCCTCTTTGTTCCCAAGATGCTCTGTATAAGGGAGCACTTGGAACAAGCACATAAAAATAACCTGCTAAATGACTTGGTCTCCTCCACTAGACTGTAAACTTAGAAGACATGGACCTCCAGTTCATTGTTATCTCCTCAAGATCTAATTCAATGACCAGAAAATTGTAGAAATTCAATAAATGTTGAACTGATCACTTGTAGCAGTTCCAAATAGAAACTAAAGAGAGACCCAGTCATTCCTAAAACCCAAGAACTGACAATTATTTTTCATTAAAACATAATTTATCCTAAAAATATTATTATTGCTTAGAATAGAGATCCACCTCTGGTGTACAAGGGGATCTACTCTGGGTATGATAAGATATTTACAAACAAAGTAAGCGATAATGAATAAATAAAATCAGAGGTGATAGGCACCCGGAATCAAATCATACCAATAAATCAGCCATGCATATCCCAACATACACTTAAGCAATCATTATATCATAAAGTAGAATTAAATCCAGTTTGATGATAGAAATTTGGGTCAAAGGACATATGACTTTGATTTTAAAATATATTTTACAGATTTTTTTACAGAGATAAAGGGAGAGGGATAGAGTCAGAAACAATGATGAGAGAGAAACATCGATCAGCTGCCTCCCGCTCACTCTGTACTGGGTATGTGCCCGCAACCAAGGTACATGCCCTTGACCGGGATGGAACCTGGGACTCTTGGGTCTGCAGGCCGACGCTTTATCCACTGAGTCAAACCGGCCAGGGCATGACTTCAATTTTATTTATTTATTTACTTATTTATTTATTTATTTATTTATTTAAAATATATTTTATTGATTTTTTACAGGGAGGAAGAGAGATGTATAGAGAGTTATAAACAACGATGAGAGAGAATCATCAATCAGCTGCCTCTTGCACACCCCCTACTGGAGATGTGCCCACAACCAAGGTACTTTCCCTTGACCAGAATCAAACCTGGGACCTTTCAGTCCGCAGCCTGATGTTCTATCCACTGAGCAAAACGGGTTTTGGCATGACTTTGATTTTAAATTGTGAGTAGAATCCAGGTCCAGCGCCTTTTCTTCCCCAATGGTATTTTTGCCTCTCTAAACTACTTGATGCCAAAGGGACAGAGGCAGAGGAAATGAAAGAAAAGGGATTAAGAAGTGGAGAAAACCAAATAGCATGTTTCTTTTCTTTGGCAAGAAAGAAAAGTCAGAAGGTGACTGATCATTTCTTTTAATAAGTTTAGAAGACTTATTTAGAAAACTATATTCTAAAATTTTCCACTCCAAAAGCTGGTTTCTCTGAGGTTAGCAAACTACTTATAAAGAAAAAACAGTGGCTATAACTCTGGCACTAAACTGCCTGGGTTTCAATTCTGTTTATCACTCCCTACCTGCATGACCTTGGGCCTCTGTGCCTCAGTTTTTTTATCTATAAAATGGGGACTATGTGGTAACTATAGCATCTATCTTTTAAGGTTATTGTGAGAATCCCGTGAGATAACATACATCAGAGGCTTAACACAGTGTCTCATAATAATAGTAAGTACTCAATAAATGTAGGTTAGTAGATTGTACCTAGTTAGTAGATTGTATCTGCATAAATATTACAGTGCTCAAAGGTACCTGGGCTTTATATTGGGGGCATCCCAAACATTTGGTGACAAGTCTGATAATTACACCTTCCAAAAAGGAAACAAATATAACAACATAGATTGAATAAAGTTAGCCTTAAATGACCCAGACTCATCATCATTTCACCACTTTGCACCTCTTTTCTCATCTGTCAAATGGGGATAATGCCTGCCTTGCCCACCTCACAGAGGATCAAATGAGCTAATAGCTATGAAAGCACTTTCCAAACTGTGAAGCACTGTAAAAATAAAAGTTATCACCCCTATAATCAAAACAAATGGTATTCTAATTAAATATATTTCCAAGTTATTATTGCCAGAAACCAAAATGGGGTGAGGGCAGAGCAGAGCAAAACTAAGAAGGCGCCAATGATTACTGAAGTGAGGAGGGCACGGAGCTCTAGATCGGCTTGCTTTAACAAAGAAGCAGGAAAGCTTCTCTAGGTTCTAAAGCAACCTGGGTGAAATATCCCACAAGACTACCAACTCCCTTTGCTCTGATTCTATGCTTGGCATGCAGCTTCTTGTTATTTTTTTTGGTTTCCAAGATACTGTGCCACCAAAAAAGGAGCTTGCTAGAGGACCGACAAGAAAATATTCCAGTCAACAGAAAATATCTATGTGACATTTTGGCTTATTCTTGAGCATCTTCTAAATGTGGTCAGTGAGAATTAATTTTCCATAATCCTGGGTGAACTTACTGATAGGTCCTTAAAGCTTCGAAAGCTAAAATCAAACAAACAAACAAATAAACAAACAAACAAAAAATCCCTGGGACGTTCCTACCACCAACAGGTTGATCTTTTCCATGAAATTCAGTTTGTACACACAATTACATAGTCTCTTTCAATACCAGCTCATATATGCAACAGTTGCTTCAATTATGAGTTACTAGCAGGGGAGGGAGGGCAGAACATTTGTAAGTATCTCAAATGCATTGGTCTCTTCTACAATAAGACTTCTCACATACATTATCTCATTTCAGTCTCACAACAATCTGGCAGCACATTATTATTATTACTTCATTTTATTGACGAGGAAATGAAAGTTCAAAGGAATTAAGTAACTTGCCCAAGGTTATACAACTATTAAATTACTAGATTAGATTCGAACAGAAGTCTGTTGCTGTTGCATTCCCGAAGGCTTGGTCATGCCTTTAGCCAGAGGCGATAGCTGAAGTAACCCTGCATAACACTCACTCTGAGGTTTACCAAATAATATTAATGTTACAAAAGCAATTTATTTTTAAAAGGCATGTGAAATTTTATTATAAAGGCTTTAAAAAAATAGTTTAAGCAGCTAATTAGGGTAAAATTAAGTCATTCAGTGATATGAACAAGTTCTAAGGAGGAAAAAAAAAAGCCTACAAAGTTTCCAAACTCAAACGGTAAAGTGAATTTCTATGCACCAGAGAAAAAATGAAAAGCTCTACAACTAAGTCCGCTATGTAGACAAAGTTGGATATTAAAGTTAATTCTATCACAGCCCCTACACCCTGTCCTTCTTAGCCAAAGTTATTAGAAACCTGTTGAGGGTGGAGGTGAGAGCACCAGGCTGCAGTCTGTAGGCCACTTGTTACATCCTGGAACGTTTCCTCAGGATAGGGCAGAGTGGGAGAGAAAGCCAGAAGCCATTCACAGTGATAGGAAATGAGTTTCCAAAGCACTTTCTCCTTCATTTGATCCTCGCAACCACTCAGAACCCAGTTAGAAGAGAATGCAGCATCAAAGCCTGTGCTGGAGCGGCTGGCTGCTAACTCGCCTGTCAGTCACTCTGGGACTGTCACACAGGCTGACAGGTAGAGGCATAGGACCTTATTCCCTGAGACTTCAGGGACTTCCAGAAAGGGTGAGCACTTTGCTCCTTGGCCTTCAGGGCATGGGGTATTCCTTATCTAAGGATCTGGACCTCTGCCAGTGCAAAACAAAATAGGACTGCAGCCCCAAATCAAGAATACCCCTAGAAGGAGGTGAAAAACCTTCGCGGTCCAGTCCAGGCCAAGTCTTCGCCGAGTTCAGGCACAAATCGTCCCTTCGGAGGCCCAAACTGGCCTCATCTCAACCACCTCCCTGAGGTTGGGTCAGGTCTCCCCTCTACCTGGGGCGCGGGTCACCTTTCTGGGCCTCCCGCCCTCAGACATCAGAGATCGGGCTCCTCTCTCCCAGCTGGGGCGCGTCCCGCCCCCGGAGGCCCGGGTCAGCTTCCTCCGCCTTGTGCAATGGGGCACCGGTCCCGTTCCCCAGGGCCTGACGACCCGAACCCGGGGAGGGTGCAAGCGAGCCGACGGGGGCGACCGAGAGCGACGGTCCCGCCCGCCCACTCGTCTGTCCCGGGCCCTAAGCCGGCCTGGCCCCAGCGCGCTCACCTGGTCCCAGCGCCTCCATGGCGGCGGCGGGGGCCGCCTCGCCCGGGTCCCCGGCGCCTCCCGCTCCGGGCCCCGCCGCCGCCTCGGAGCGTTTGATCTCCGGAATCTTGGCGCTGAGAAGGGGCGCCGCGGGGACGCGGGCGCTGGGCGGGGGGCTGCGGCGGTGGCGCCCGGCCCGGAGACAGGGACCCGGCTCCCGCGGCTCTTCCGGCCTCAGCGACAACAAAAACAATCCCCGCCGCCGCCGCCGCCGCCAGCCTGAGCGGGCGCGGGAGCCTGCGCGCGCCCGGCGGGTGGGGACGGGGCGCGGGGCGCGGGGCGCGCGCCGTCCGTCAAGGGTCCGGGGTCCCGGCTCGCAGAGGGGGCGTGCGCGGCCCGGGGGGCCGGGTCCACCGAGCCCTGCGCGGAGGCAGGAGGCGTGGCTGGGACCGGGCGTGCGCGCTGGAGGGGGCAGTGCCCCGAGGACGTGCCGTGTTCCTGTGTGCGCGCGCGCCCGCCCGCACTGCCCTGCCAGCCCAGGACAGCCATCCCGGGCACACGGCTTGGAGGGGCTGCGTGCCATCTTCCCAGAGCCGCTGCTGCCACAGTGTCCTCGAAAGATCAGGATTCCAGATCCCGCTGGTCCACAGACACAGCCTCCGCTCTGCCCGTGAAAGTGTCCTGAGATTCACACACCCGGCACCTCTCCCTCCTCCCACCTCAGACCACTTCTTTTTCCTCTGTCAGGGTCCCCCTTCTCCGCTGTCCCGGGACAGAGAACACCAGTCACCACAGATGCAGCACTTTCCCGCCGTTTCTTCATCCAACACCTCGTGCCCAGTTGCCCATCCCTCCAAGTGCAGCCAGGAAGCACCACGGAATGGACCATGATGAATGATGAATGATGCATTCATTCTCTCATTGGTCCCATGACAAGCGCCTGGTCAGCAAGTCACTCAAAACAGAAAAGTCTTGCTTTCGCTGATGACTTCACCTTAGCAGCCAAGAGCTAAAGGAGCAGGGTCCTTGGGAGTCATGATCAGCTCAGCAGGCCCAGCCTCTTTGGGGCTTTTAATTGGAACTTTGAGTTGGAGAACACAGGACTACAGGTCAACAAGCAGTTCCTAGTCAGCAAAATGGGGGAGCTCTCTGTCCACTAGTTTAAAAAAGGCAGTGTGCCCAGCAGGTGTAGCTCAGTGATTGAACATCCACCTACGAACAAAGAGTTCAGGGTTCTATTCCCGGGAGGGGTTGAGGCTGGATCCTCAGTGTGGGGGGCGCATGCAGAAGGCAGCTGACCAATGATTCTCTCTAATCATTGCTATTTCTATCTCCCTCTCCCATAATGGATTAGGGTCTACCTTCACTTAATTGCCTCTTTGTTTTAACTGAATTGCCTCTTTAAAGATCTTATCTCCAAATACAGTCACATTCTGAGGTATTGAGGATTAAGATTTCAACCTGTGGGTTTTGGGGATTGGAGGGAGGCCCAATTTAGCCCATAACATGTGTAGTGCACTATTCATTTGAGCATCTACAATGTGTAGCCATACCGGCAAATAATATTTGTATGTAATGATAAAAAACGTTAGGGGCACACCATGGTCAGGCACTGTATTATGGGCTTCACAGGCCATTGAATCTTTCTAGCCACCTATAAGGCAGATAGTATTAAGGAAAGTGAGGAAACGGAAGCTCAAGGGAGTTAAGGATGTCAGGCTCTGCATTATATGATAGGGCAGTGAAGCATGAAAAAATTGGGGGTTCTATAACCTGCATCCTAATCCTGCTGATTCCATCCCTGCCTGGGTATAGCATTGGGACTTTTAACCCAGTGACTGGATTCTACTCCCAAGTTCTTTCTATAGCATCATGCCACTTCTCTGTGAAACCAGCTATTAACTGGAAAAAATAATAGGGGACAGAAAATTTGAAGAGGAGGAACTATGCACTAAATAGCAAACCAGTTTAGAGCTAAGAGGGTAAAAAAATTAAAAACAAGTAGAGGTCAAGTTCTGAGTAGAACCTAGCAACCATCTCCCTTCTTCTACACTTCAGGATAAATTCCCCCCACAGTGGAAACAGTGCTGGTGGCTTCCAGCCTGGTTTGAGGCTGCCTTTCCAGCTCCCACTTCCTAACAGAGTTTCTCCATATTCTATCTGGTACCATGAGCAGAGACGGTAGCTTGTTTCCTGTACTGAAAATAGCCTCAGGCAGGGTATGAACTATACTTACTCCAGTTTCAGTTGGTCTGCAATGCTTCAGTCTCTCACCCTGTCATTCTTGAACACTCTGATCACTCACATTCTCACTCCAAAACTCACTCCCACTCAGGCACCCACTGCCCCCTTCCTGAAGTCCCTTCTGACTAAGCCCTCCGAAACCAAAGTTTTAATAAACACCCCTAAACCTCAGCCTATTCAGCGAGCCCTCCCTCCACTTCCTGCTGTGGCTGAGAAGCAATGCCCCAGAATACCACTTCCCCCTAAGCTCCCTCTGATGGTGGCTGCTCACACCATACACATCTACAGGACAGGGTGGGGGTGGGTGGGTAGAGAACTGGCAAAATATTTGGCCCATTACATCAAACCTTGAGTTCTCAGTCTCCTATAAAAAACCACTTGTCACCCTAACTGGTTTGGCTCAGTGGATAGAGCTGTGGATTGAGTCTGTGGACTCAAGGGTCCCAGGTTCTATTCTGGTCAAGGGCGATACCTTGGTGTGGGCATATCTCCAGTAGGGGGTGTGCAAGAGGCAGCTGATTGATGTTTCTCTCTCATTGATGTTTCTAATTCTCTCTCCCTTACCTTTCCTCTCTGTAAAAAAAAGCAGCCGGGACCGGTTTAGCTGAATGGATAGAGCGTCGGCTTGGGGACTGAAGGGACCCGGGTTCGATTCCAGTCAAGGGCATGTACCTTGGTTGCGGGCATGTCCCCAGTAGGGGGTGTGCAAGAGGCAACTGATCGATGACTCTCTCTCATTGATGTTTCTAACTCTCTATCTCTATCCCTTCCTCTCTGTACAAAATCAATAAAATATATTTTTAAAAATTAAAAAGAACACTTGGCTGTCTCTGGATCTGTTTTTATTCATGAGTTTATGCTGTTCATTATATTCCACAAAGGAGTGAGATTATGTGATATTTATCTTTCTCTGACTGGCTTATTTCGCTTAGCATAATGCTCTCCAGTTCCATCCATGCTGTTGCAAATGGAAAGAATTGATCAGTCCTTCAAACCTCAGAGGGAAGGTAGAAGAGAGTGGTGGTAAGGGGGAGAGATCAACCAAAGGACTTGTATGCATGCATATAAGCCTAACCAATGGACGCAGACACCAGGGGTGTGAGGGCATGAGTGGGAGAGTGGGGGAGGGCAAAAAAGGGGGTAAGGACACATATATAATACATTAATCAATAAAGAAAAAATCCAGATTAAAAAATAAAAACTACTTGTCATCTGGCTGAACCACCACAGGACCTCACTTGGTGGAGTAATTAACTCAGCTCCTGGTCTTATGTCTTAGTCCAGGCCTGGCTCCTATTACATTGTAAATTCTTTAGAGCAGGGCTTATGCCTTGTTCAGGTATTCAGGCTTGTGTCTCTGTTGCCTACCATATTTCCTGGCACCAAATGCCTACTCAGGGAAACTAATGGAATGAATAATGAATGAACGAGCAAGTTGTATAAACAGTGGGAACTAGAACTGGTCCAGTAGACGTAAACTTCCAGCTTCTCCAGAGCACAGATTTTATTATTTTTAAAAAATATATTTTTATTGATTTTAGAGAGGAAGGGAGAGGGAAAGAGAACTGGAAACATCAATGATAAGAAAGAATCATCAATTGGCTACCCTCTACATTCTCCAAACTAGGGATTGAGCCTGCAACCCGGGCATGTGCCCTGATGGGAAATCAAATCGTGGCCTCCTGGTTCATAGGTCAACGTTCAACCAGTGAGCCATGATTTTAGAACCAAATGGTCCGGAGTTCAAATCCCAGTTTCACAATATACTAACTTCAAGTACCTGGGACAAGTCTCTTCACCTACGGCTTAAGGATGTCTTGAGGAAGTTAAATCATATATGTGCATATCCCTTTGTCTCTGACACAGAGTAAGTGCCCAGTAGTTACTAATCTTCTTCCCTATTCTCCTTTCCCATAGCTAAAAGCTGCCCACTCTGCTTTTGTTGTTCCTTGAGAGACAGTGAGCTCAAGATCTCAGCTCAGTACAAGAGAGGGGAGTGGACCCCAATCCCAACCCTGGTCAGGGTGCGAGCAGGAGGCAATCAATTGATGTGTTTCTCTTACATTGATGTTTCTCACTATCTTTCCCTCTCTTCTTCTACTTTTCCTGAAAGTCAATGGAAAAATATCCTTGGGTGAGGATTAACGAAAAAAAAAAAAAGGGGGGGGGCGGACACTAGAGCTGTCAAGGACAGAGCATGTTTACACATCCTGTGCGGAAGCCAGCTGGGGACAAGGGCTTTGCTCACCCATTGGGGAGTGAGAGCCAGGACCTGCTCCGTGAAGTTTATGAACGGAACTGAACTTTTCGAATGCTCCCCAGATGAAGCCAAAAGGAGCCTCGCTAGTGGACACTGTGCCAGAAGGCAGGGCTCCGGCCACCCACACTGCTTGTGACACTCCAATGCTTGTCTGGACTGCTGATTTATCCATGTTCTGATTCAACAGTCTCTCCTTATACTAACTTTCCACAAATCTGGCGCCTGGAAGTTAAGGATAAACTTCTTTGCAGCTGATCTATCAGGCCAGGGTTTTCTTCTTCTTTAGCTAGGGACCCCGTAATTGAAAAGAAATCTTAAATGGAAGCTGAAGAGGAGCCACTCTGGCTGAGGAGGACAGGGACTTGCATTAAACATGAATGAACTAGACCAACTTGCCAAGAGATACCTCCTGCCATCCAAATGAAATTTCTGTCCACCTGCTCCTACGCAATCACCAGCCTTGCTCTTGTGGTTGAGGATATACCATATTTTGCTTATCTACTCATCAGTTCATGGACATTTGGTTGTTACCACTTTTTGGCTATAGTACTAATGTTATGAACATTCATGTTCAAGTTTTTGTGTGCGTATGTTTTAAATTCTTTTGGGTGTGCCGTGCCAGCATAGCCAAGGGTTTGGCGAGCCTGAGCAGGGGGGACAAAGGATGGAGAAATGATAGACAAAGAGAAAAAGCTGGGTCTAAGTGGATCTTCTGTGCTTGGCTGAGGCCACAGAACAGATCCAGACTGCAAAGGGCTGAGGCTTTATTTATAATCAGGGACAAACAAGGTAATTTACAATGTTCTTGTTTCACTTGTTTTGGCAGAACCTGCTGCCCCTCCCACAGCCCAGGAGCTACCCAGGAAAGATGTAGGGAGAAGTTACAAGATTAAGCTTAATGATGCTTAGAGGACTGTGCCCTCCAAGCTGGGACTTGTTTGCGGCTTTGCCAGCAGGTCAGTATGAGGCTTAACCCTATAACTGCTTCCTACATTTGGGTTTATACCTAGGAGTAGATTTGCTGGGTTATATGGTAAGTCTGTTTAACTTTTTTAGGAACTTTTTTTTTTTTCATAGTAGTTATACTATTTTATATTCCCATCAGCAATGTATGAGGGTTCTAACGTTTCCACACTCTTGTCAACACTTGTTATTTTTAGATTTATTATT